AAAGGCACGATTTGTTCGGGAATTCCTACTTGATGAATGAACCACTGCGAAATTCTAACCTGAAGACATTACTAACTTCGAATAAATGCTGAAAGAAAACTATTTCGAATATTTGCAAAATTTTGCACTTTTGCAGCAAAAGCCTATCTTGTGATCATTACCCTAATAGATGACTCATCCAACATATTTTATGCACTATATTCTAAACGTTAACTACATTCGAACGAAAACTATTTATAAGGTGTTCGTTGAAAAAGTATAATTTGGCATCATAAATTCAAGTGCTGAGAATCCCGAATTCCGACAGATAAATTCAATGGATCATATAAGCGATATATGTCTGCAGCAACAGTTTCATATTTTTGTTCCTTCTTAGTTTCCATTTTGTCTTAAATCTTCTTTTCATCCAGCCGAATAAATATTTCTGTGAGTTGCTGCACAAAAACATCCGACCGGGAATACCGAAGAACTGAGAAATGCTGCTTATCAAAGTAACAAAATTCTTACCGATGTCTCAGGACTATGTTCTGGAAAGCGGCAAATGGAAGTCAATATTAGAGCATCGCAACCACGAAGTTGATCCCATTGAACCGGTTTCGTATGTGAATTTCTTGAGGATGTTGCTGACAAATAGCCTATCTTAAAGTATCAAAAACATTGTCGAAATGAGAATAAATTACGCATGTCATAAAAAACAGTTAGCAAAAAACTTACAACGACACGGTCATAATTTACGTCAAACATTAGATACTTGCATTCTTTCAAGCGATGAGAATATTACTTGCAACATTCTATTTCAGAGCGTCTGAAATAGAATATTGCAAGTAATATTCTCATCGCTTGAAATCGCTTTCTCACGTAAAAATCTTTCAAATTAAAAATAAACTGGAACAAATATTATGTAAATAGCAGTCATATGTAATATGTATTATAAAAGTAAATGAAAATATTAATATAATATGAAAATATAAGCATATGTAAAATGGAAGTAAGGCGAATACGTATCCTTATCATACATACTAATGATATATACTAAGTCCCATAAGAAATGCACAAGCAAAAGATTTAAAAACAAAATATACTGAAATAACACACGATAGAGCTATATTTTATAGAAATGCATACCTTTTCATGTTCAGTATGCACAATCCAGTTGCACGATCCTATTGAATAACCACTTGAATATGCCGCAATAGTTGCAGCACCATGAATGTTCTATAAAATGAAATTGTAAAAGCAAAATACTTTTAAAGTACATAGCAAATAAGACTTATTTTAAATTCCATCAGATCATCGATACTGCTCAGTAACAATCAATGCATAGAATCATTCCATAGCAGCATGATCGTAAGAAAAACGTGGCCTGACATTTCGTAGTATGCATGTATAAATATTATTTATCACTATTTCGGATATCAACGTAAAATGATTAAACAGCTCCAGACATTTAACATATAGCCATCTACATTCTGAACACGTTGTCTGGATATGATTTTAATCTTCCACACTATTTCCTTTAAATATTTCCTCAGAGTGTATGAGAGAAAAGAAGAGACTACAAGCATAAATAGATTTTGTCATGCTCAAAAATATTGTTGCAAATCACTTCCATATTTTGAATAAATGTTTTGATCAACTATTGCAGAAGAATTTCTCAAACTTACAATAGATTCCCGAAATGATATTCGCTGTACTTTTGTCAAGCAATTTTCCATTTGTTCACGACTGTAAAACGGCCTCCATTCACGTGGATCACTTGTCGGAACATTAGGGAAATTCCTGAAAGCTGAAGTACATGATTTTAAGTGATTAAAAGGACAAGGTTTCGTTCCGGCATCAAATGAATATCTTATTTGTATTACATATAGCTTATAATCATTACATAATATTTTAAATAGTTGAAGAGACGAAACTTTTCGATAAATTTCAAATAATTCAAGGATATTAATTTCAAATGGCTCAAGGATGTTGCACGCAAAGCATATGGATAAACATAGAAAGCTTGCGCAGGACATACATGAATAATGCTGGCTTTTTCCATGAGTGGTCTCGTTCTTCACGATCAACTCGATCGAAGAAATCCAACAACTCCTCCATAACTAATCTTAAAAAATTTATCAGTCAATAATAACAAAATGATACTGCTTCATATCATCTATACCGACTGCCCTGAAAATCATCTACTTTTTTATTCTCTCTTTTTGTCGATAGAAATGTCATCCAAAGTTCAACTTTAAATAAAATAATTATAAGTCATCTGTCGTTTATCATTTTTTGTACCTTCCAAATTGAAGTGTTGGATCAGTTGCATAAACTACACCGGTGAAATTTGTTTCTTCCGTAAAAAATGGCAGTGCAAGAAGAGACATCCAATTTGACACCAATATCGCATCTACGGAATCCATTGACGTGAAACAAATCTGCAAAATTGTGATTTTGTTAAAGCAATCAGAGATTGATAGATAACATATGAAATAAATGAAAAAACAGAACTAGTATAAAGGAAGTTAATTTTGACGAGAAATAATATAGCTGATGATCTAAAAGAAAGAATGAGAAAAAATTACTTGTGGAGGATGCACTTCAAACGGCCCATCAACAAGAACATGCTCGCCATGTCGTTTGAGACAGTATTTCGGTGCATTTTTTGGATAGAGTGGCAAGTTCGAGAAAAGTTTGCTGAAATTTGAAAGTTGCAAACTCTTCAAGATATAAATATCATCCTGTTCTTCAAGTAACAGGATGATATTATAAATGTAGAAACTATCCACGCAAGGAAAACTCGTCGACGGGACATATATAGTGCGGGTGCAATAAGAAAGCAATAAATGTACGCATTCCAAGAAGAAAAAAATGAATAATGATACTAATAATGCAATCAGGGAGACAAGAGTGAGGAATTGTTATAGAAAATAAACCTCAGAAACCTTACAAAAAACAAAAAGGCAAAATAAATGGAAACTCAAAATATAACCTTTTGCAAAGTGCAGCTGGAAGGAATGACGAAAGTGCATCCATATTAACAGCACAGTCCAACAATATGCTTGCCGATGACCACTTTAATAATAAACATGGCCTATACGGTTGAGGTGATAGCGGTATCTGAAAAAAACTTCGTAATAAAGTCATCGAACAAACTTAATTTGTTCTAACTGATTAACACTAATTGGATAAGAATTCGCGCCATTTCATAATTCTCTTAAATGATTCTGAGTTCGGAAATTTCTACGGAAATAGATATAATATTCATACTATTTTATGACTTAGTAAACTCTTGATTTCCTTAAGTGATTGAATATTGGCTTTTTAAATTCAATTCACTGAACACTAGTTTACTAGACATCCTTGATTTTCCTCTTCTCATTTCTTCACAGTCATAAACTGATTAGCTATATCAATGACAAATATTGTTACATTATGACAGTAATAAATACTGCTACATAACAAATAAAATACTCACCAACTGCATGGTACTGAAACGCTACCTTCACTCGATATTAGCTATTATTATCGTGGACAGTTATACTTTGTTAATAAAATTTTCACATAAGCCAGCGTTCTGAAAAAACTCTAGACATCATTCGATCAGATATCATTAATATAATTCAGTGTACAATACATCACCTTCTTGTTTTAATAATTTCAGTTTCTCAAAAAATATTTTTTAATTACGAAATTTACTAACATTTTACAAAATTTATATTGCCTGTAAGTTTTCTTTGTCAAATCCACATCGATATGGTATACATAATTTGTTTCTCAAAATTTGAATCTATCAACAATTAGCTCTATTAAAGTGAAATTAACACTACAACACTAACTCTAACAATAAATAAAACCATACTTCTAATTAAAAAATGTCATTACTGTTATATTGATCATCACTTTATATATTTAGAATTGAACGGCAAATTAGTAAAACTAATCATTGACGAAATGTTTTATCATTAAAATTGTCAGTTATAAAGTTTCCTAGTGACAAAACAAATTATTGATGCCATTTCCACTGCTTCTAAATATCACACATCCTATCTGCGATTCAAAAATAAACCCGGAATCCCCAATATCATTTCACAAATGTTTTTTTAGCAATCGCATCTCGAATATAAGCCTAATGAAAGAATCACATCAGCTATATCAGTTTATTCATTTGCGTTTGCTCTGAGGTATGGTTATTTCGTTGCTAATTGGTTTTTGCTTAATATAATAATCTAATTTACTATAAGCTTTGTTAGTTATCAATTTAATTTCATTTCCAACCCAATCTCCTTTTTTATTATTTTTATTCTCTTATCACTTCTCTCCATTTCTTTCAATCGTTATTACAGTTCATTTACTTCATCTTTTAATTCATTTTCATTTGTACTTATGTTCATCAGTGTTTAATTTCTATTATAATTCATCAAATACTCGAGAAATTTCTCTAACTCTTTCATTGTGTATTGTTTGCTTCTCTTCCGAATACTAATATGGTTATTCTGCTTATCTTTATTTCCGCTTGATCTTTCAATTTTAAACATTACGATAACCTTTTATATCTCCTTAATTTAAATTTAATCATTGTATTAATTTGATGTTGGTTTTTTTTTTGTTGCCAGATTTTTAACAAATTTCTATGGAAGGGGTTTACTGTGGTAATTAATCAGTTCGTTAATTTATCGTTGATAACTTCATATGCAAGGCTGATATGCAAATGCTATGAATAAATGTAGTCCGAAATTCTCCGTTTCCTAGCAATTTCAAACCGTCCTAATTCCCACGAAGCATATGATTAATCAATTTTGAGTGATTAAGAACGAAAACACAACAATATGTACAAATCATCATCTTATCACTCCAATGATGTCGATAATATAACTAGGCTGATTGCTAGAGTATCTAATATAGCAAGAGTGAATAAGTCTAATTCGAAGTGCTAAAATAATTGCAATTCAAGAATCGCATTTATAAAATAATAGTAGTATTGCAGTAGTGAACACCAAATAATGGAAATATTTCAGATGACAGCGTTAACGATATCAAAAGCTTCACAATTATTACGATTACGTCCCATTACGGATAACAGTACCATTCATGTTCCACGTGAATTCCAAACATTTGCAAAACTTTTTGCAAGTCATCGACGGCCAAAAGCGGATATTAGTGCTGAAATAATTGACGACGGCTTACCGAAAGACTATCGATTACAAGTTTGCAAGGTGAGCAGTCGGCGGCTCGATTCTATTATTTGTAAAGCAATTGGACAAGGACGAGGGTTCGTATTCCTTCAGTTTTTTTCTTTTGCCTTGTTAATTTTTATGAAAATGGGTGAATAAGTTTAGACATTAAACTAAAACACATTTTTAATTATCTGACCGGCTGCTTTCGCTTTCATGAGTAATATAACTACAAATTTCCTAAGGCATAGAAACTTTTTGTGTGAAGAGTAATGTTAGCTTTATTATACAAAAAGCAATAAGAGCTGAAATTGGCTGATAGGGGCTCTAAAATCAGTTAAATTGAAAAATTGATTTCAGGCAAGCTGAAAAGTTGATTTTAACGGGTAAGGTGCTGATAAACGAGCAAGACATGCCAAAAAAAGCAGCTTATTACGTAAGGATTTGATCTTAAATATTATTATGAATAACTGACTAACAAATGCTTATTAATGAAGAGATTAATACTATTTGTCAGTTTTCGAAAATACTGTCGCACGTAGAGATTTTTTTGAGAACTCTTGAATAGAGACCAAAAAAATTGAAATTGCCCACTAAAATGAAACTATGTTAAAATAATTGGCTTCAGTTATTGCCAACATATCATTTCTACCAAATTTATTCATAAATTTTATTGGAAAAAAAAGGTGTTTCTCAAAAATAAAAAAGTTGAAGATAATACATAAGGAACTGCAGGTACAAGAGAACGATATAATTGATGTCTGGAAACAGCCGGTGGAAGGTAACACTAAATTTGCTGAAGTTCATAGGATCGAAATAATCAATTATGTCTTAACTGAACAAGGCTATGACATTAACTTAAAATCATGGAAAAACTTTTATGTACAAAATTGGCGTGATAAAAATTAAATCATAATGCTCATCGCCAACACAGAATTTTCGAATGTTATTCTAATATATGCAGCATACTTTTTCATCTCTTATACTACTAAAATTTCGTAGGAATTTTTCCCAAATGTTTGTGGTAGTGGTTGCTAACTTGTCCTAGTGAATCTTTCAGAATAATTTTCACTATAATAGGTGATCAGTTAGATATTCAATAAGAAGTTTCTATAATGGGACGATCAGCTTTGAAGATGTAAAAGATGCTCCGAAGATTTTTTTGTACTTTATCTGTATTTCATTGTTTCATGCCGAGTCATAATTAGGAATTTTCATTACTCTCATGTGATGCTCATTTGAAACTTAAAAATTTTCTGAGGTGCTCAGGGAAATTAATAAATAAGATCATTTATAGTAATTATTTATAATAATGGTGGCTTTTGATTGACATTCCCAGTTGCATAACGTAAGTAGAGATGAATATATATGAAGCTGTTCATACAAAAGACTAGTAATAGTATCTTCGAATGGCAGTGGAAGCTTTTACTGATATTCAAAAAAGAGCTGAGAAGCCATATTTTGAAACAATAAAGATGAATATCATCAATGGTTTCCTAAGTACGAGTTTCGATTTGACAACCGATAAATTAGCGACTTTTCAAACTATGGGTAAAATCTCATGGTACTTGTGCTTAATTGTAGTTCACTTGATTCTATGTTATATTTTATATTCACCTTCGTGCTGTTCATAAAAGTATTAGAAGTCTCAATAATTTACAAAGAAAATTATATGAATAGAATAATATATAAATAAAACAAAATAAACATGAGAACTTTACTGGGCGGTACGATCAAAGATCACTCCAACGTTAGATCGGCTTGCCTTTCAATCTCCACTATCTGTTGTCATCAATTAAGTTATTTAAAGCTTCTCGCAATAGCTTTTCATCGCTACGTAGTTGATCATGGCATTTCTGCAATATAACGAATCAATTCGGCGTTGCGGAACTAATGCAGTCTAGGAAAAAAAGGCCTTTTCAATTGTCACCGCTAAATGCAACAATATTGAAAAAAATTTGGAATAAAAACAAAACATCACCACCTTGAGATGTTCCCACTGTTCCACTAAAGTCGAAAACTTCACCGCCACTTCATTCACAATTTTCTTCTTTGCTTCATCACATTCGATTTGTCGAGATTGCAACGTCTTTCGTGCTTCCGCAAGCTGTTCGTGCACAGAAAGCTGGAATTGTAATTAGGATTGTCTGATTTTATTTCAATACCAAGTATCTTATGACAATATGGACATATGATATTTTGCTGGCAGACAGCCCAATGTTAATCGTACATTCCAAAAAAAAATGAGATCAACAATAGAGTTAATGATACAGCAGTAATTTGATTTCCGTGTAAATAAGAAACAGAAAAAATCTGACAGTAAGAAACTCCTACTTTCCCATTACGAAGGGCATGCAAGCTGTCAAGCTCATTCTGTGCCACATCCACTTCCAACGATAGTTTTTGACGCTCGTCTTCCCAATCTTCACGCTTGAGCGTAAAATCATGGGACTAAAAATTTATCACGACGTTAGTTCTGTGTTGTACAAATTTTCGTAATTACATTAGATATACATGAAAATAAAAACATGCCGTTTTTGAAATCTGCCGCTGAATACGCTTCAAATTTTCTACTAAAGATGCTTTCTTTTGTCTTAACTCAGCTGCATCTTGATTTATAGTTATTAGCTTATCTTCCAGATCCTTAATCCAATCGTTAATATCCTTGCTAAGTCCATCTAGCTTCTTCTGTAAATAATTTTAAACACTTTATTCATTTGGGCTTCTTTCTTTCGTCCATTGTGAGTAAAATTTCTGACCATTAGGGCAGCCTTTACTTTTGATGAAATTTATGTTACCATTAATTTGAAACAAGCAATAAGTGCCGTCAGACAGAGCAAAAAATATAAAAACAATAAATACTTCAATTTCGTCCATAAGTTCCGGAAAATGGGGCTCATTCGGAGAATGTTGATCCAGAACAGCAAAGAACGGATCATAGATCCCATACACAGTTCTGCTTACATCCTCGAAGGCCCTAATGAATGCTCGATAACGTTCACGTAACTGTAACTTTATAATAATATTAGATCTTCGGAACAAACAGAAATAGCAAATCTTTTTCTTACAGCAAGATTCTTAAAACTTATATAAATTCTATCAGTGTTTAATACGATTATCATTATAGAGGTCCGAGGAAACTTTTTAATGAACTGCCTTGATATCAAACTGACTAAATTAAATAGCTATCGTTATGGGCTCGAGTGAGACAAAAAGTTTCCAATGAAGTCTAAGCTATACTGAAACACAAAATAAATTAATATATATTGACTTTTCCCTCAAAACTCCCAAACAACATTGTTATATCTGACATGACGCAAGTAGCTCTCACGAAAAAGATTAAAGAATAAACCTGAGAAGCTTCTTTAAAATTAACGGAAAGAATTGCATCATTTTCGAGTTCAATATTCTGTCGCTCCTTATTTGCTATTTCAATTTGAGCTTTCAACTGAAAGCTTCCTCATTAAATAGAAACTGTAAAAAAGTTATCGATTTAAAGTCGTTATTCAATCCCTATCACTAAGATAATTCATTTATCTTTCATGAAGGTCATTCACCACATCGTAGAGACCATTACAGTAGACGATAACTTTCAAGATAGATGAAGAGTCGTTGTCATATCCTTTCAATAAAAAAAAATCGCAATGACCTCCTCTCTTCTAGCACGAAGAGCTCTTGCTTCTTCACCAGTCATTGACTGCGCTGCTAATTGCTTTTCTTTGGCAGAAAGTTGTTCTTTAAGAGTAGCAATCGTTCGATCGTACCACTGCATTTCATTTTCCAAGTTTTCCTGCAAAATAATTTTAAACAAGCAACTGAGCATTTTCTATTAGAAATACGTATTTTATCTTCAAATTATTGAGAAATCAGTGATAAAGTCATATCATAATACAAGTAAAAAATAATAATATTTCATAAGACGGATAAAAATTAACCCTTTTCTTTTTTTCTTCGTTAAGTTTTTCTTGTTGCTCGTCCTTAAATGTCTGTAAGTTTTTCAAGTCTTTCTCCAGCATTTTAGTATTTGTTTGAAGCTCATCAAGATGTCCCTGAAACACAGTAAATCCATACACCAATAGATCTGCAAAAGTTAATTTTAAATTGAAAAATTTATTATCAGTAATCTCAATCTTTATTTTTAACATGTATTTGATAAGCCATAAAACCAAAATAGTAAGAATGAAATAATGTAGCTTTTTTTAGAAAGCTACAAGAAAGGAAAAGAGTGAATTAATCCGACAACAAAGGATCTCTAATGGAAACACGGACAGAGTAATGTGATAAAAACATGCCTTATCCTTACAGAGTTCTGCAATTTCATCTGTTAACGTGAGAATCTGCGCATCTAATTCAGTTTCTTGTTGCGCGATATCTTCTTTTTCTTCTGAAATTCATAAATAATGAATTTTATTCACTGGAATGAAAACCACAAAATGCCTTAACTCAAAAATTATGAAAATGTAGACAATGATGTAATTAAAAACTTGACGCCGCTGCAGCTATGAAAAACGCCTACCCCCATTACAAACAACAAGGTTATATGATCAATTATCAGTGCTGAGTTATATCAAGATCAAAATTAATTCGTTTAGGCCTACCAATAAGTTGAAGAAGGACATTGTTCTCATCTTCGTAATTATCCATAGTGAGTCCCAACAGTGGATTATTGCAGTATTTCTTATAACATCGAACTATGTAGCCGTAAGATAACTAAACGAATCAAATGAATCCTGCAGCTTCCCAAAAATTATTTGTTATATAAAATGCCAACATCTTCTCGAAATAAGTTTTTTTTCGATTTTACCGAATGTTCTACCACCCGTTATGGGAATGAAAAAATTCTCAAATTTCCAATTCAAAGAAACATAAATACAGTGCATCGAAATATGCTTGATACATATCACTTCTAATACTAAACCATCACGAAAAGTAATCGCTATAGTATTAGCGGAGGCAAATAAAGAACTATTCAAATGAATTTAGGTGATAATGAACTATGAAGTTATACAATCTAATAGTTGTCCAGGAAAAGTAAATGAGAACATTTAGCAACCTACCGATCTTCTCTGACCATCTCCTTCTTCATTCGCAAGAAGTAAATCCTGTGGCGATATTCCCTCCAACATCTGTAAAATCGGAGTCTGATTTCTAAACTTTGCGAGGATATCAAAAAAAGGAGAGGTTTCATTATCAAAAACACAACTGTCCTAGTGCTCAATGCTAAATTTTAATATATGTTAAAATGCAACATGATTCATTCATATCGTGTTGCCAAAACCAGTCCTAAAGCGCAATGTGACCTTAATAACATTATTACCGTAACGGAAAGTGCAAACTTATCATTGCAGCAGCCAACGCTTTAAACTAATAACTCAACGAATAACTTACTTGAATCAAATCAATCAGCCAGGTGATAGCACCAAGCAGATGTGGCATGGTATGCGCTGCGCCAATGGTTTGCATGGTAGAAGGCTTCAATTGCACCGGATAACCTAAAGCGCGGAAAAGGCGAGGCATCTAAAATACATTTTTCGTTATATAGAACTTAATAGCACGAAAATTAATCAATTTAGTTATTCAAGAGTTAAGCTTTAGTCATCGGTTAATTTTTTTTCTTCACAAATTCACCTTTTCCAAAAATTTAGGATGTCAAGAAAATCATGGCATGGTCCACAAATTATTTATCTTTATTACTTAATACCACTCTTCAGCAAACTGAATGATATGTAGAAATGAAGCTTGCGAATAGTTAGGGTACAAAATTTTTGTACTTCAACTATTCTTAAGCATCCATTTAATTTAAAATTTACCTCATCTTCAATCTTCCGCAACGTAAAATCTGATGCCAATTGTTGAAAGATAAATTCAAACATCCGCGCAAACTCAGCTTTCGTCGGACTTTTGACAAGTTTTTCGCTAGTTTGCGAATAGTTCTCATCAATCAAATATTGCAAAACCTGCGAATACAAAAGTTTGAAATCTCTTCAAATTTATTTAAAAAAACACAAAGCACAATTTTCACTGTATAACCGGCCCATAACCACTGTAAAGAGCTCATTGTCAGCACCACATCACGTGGATAAATCCATGATCGCTGAATCAGGCTTTTAACAAATTTGTTTGACAACAGATGGCAGTGTTCGGAACCTTAAACTTACGAAAATATAATCTGCCACAGCCCAACTGATTTAATTTGTGCATTGTGATACGTTTTCAATTGATTTTGCGGTAGCATTGGGAATCATTATTCGTCCTTTTAATGAAAGGATAGAATAGATGAAAGGATAGAATAGCGAACAACTTTATAGACCGAGATTATTGAAGCCATAAAAAGAGACAAAAAAGTAATAAACAATACTTTGCGTTGCATTTCCTGCTGAAAATGACGATCATTCAGATTGCGAGAATCCTTGAGAACGCCGGGATTTGCTATTGATTTAAAAAATGAGCTGCTTCGCCTGAAAGAAAAGATCTGTATTTATTAACGGCTCATTAATCCATTCTTTGCCTTTCTTGCAACATTTCACTGATATTTAAAAGTTAAATGAAAAGCAAACTTCGATGCTGTAGATGGGGCACCACTCATCGCCAAACTATATCGCTGCTCACCGGATGCACCACTGTAAGAAGTTCCCATTATTTTGCGAGAAAAGGGAATAATCTAAGGATGTTCAAAATTTTCTGTGAAATCTAAAATAAAAACATCCTTCGATGACAGATTCTCTACATTATTTTACTTACAAGTAAGCAGTGCTTTACATCTCAAAAACATTTTGGTTGCAAAGCTGCCTCATTTCAATCAATTATGAAAATGAGAGGAATTATTGTTTTAACTAAGGCGGACTATGAAGATAAAAGGTGCCAAAAATGAGCTATTTCTTAGTCATTCTGTTACGAACAGATTTGCAACAGTGTTCATACCGAGTAAATAAGGCAACTAAATCACAAATTATGATCGTGTAAAACGTAAATAATATGGTGGAAAATATGGGATCAAACATGAAACTTGAGGTTATCCGACATGATTCATAAGATTGATTCGTTCAAATCTAGCGCATTTACAGTATTCTCCTGGATTGTAAGATGAATGATGTATACCTTTTAGAAGATCGTAAAGAGGAATATCCTATATGTGGTGGCCCACGCCCTCCCACAGGTGTATAAGTGATGGACGATCGCTGAGCTGAGTTGCTGACCTGAAGCAAAAATTCTTATAAAATTTCCTTTCTTAGTCTGTGATCTTTCAGTTCTTCCCTGATTCTGCTTCTCCTCTCACCAAAGACAATAATGCTTCTATTGAATAAGAGCAATCTTACGTGATGGAAGAATGCAAAACTAACCACTCATGCGAATAACACATCAGCAATATTCCAAAATCAAAAATCTGTTATTACTAATCCTTTGATACCACATAATTTAGATGAAAAAAGTAAAAAGATAAATACCTGTGGTATAAGTGATTTTCGATTAGGACCAAACATCTGGAAAAATAATTTTACAAATTCAAATCGTATGAAATTACCACAATATTTCAATGAGTATTACGCGAAAATATATGATATCCCCATATGCAGTGTATATAAATAAACATACATTTACATGCACTTATACATACATACCAACAAACACAGACACACAATGATGCAGATACACCAATGCGTGGCTATTATTGGAAATAAACATACAAGAATATACAACTTAAGGAGTACGTAGATATCCATATATACATACTTTACATATAGATATTAAAAAAAGTAATCTACATATATTCCTCAAATTATCAAGAAAGTAGGAACATCAGCAAGACAGGAAATCGTTCAGAAAGCGGACTTCCGTTTTACAAGTAATTCACATAGCTGCTTCATTGTACAACTTTATGAATACATGATCCTTTCTCAACTGCGGGATTGCACTGCTTGGACAAATCCCCAGGATCTCTTACTATACTCAACAACGACCGCATACCCCGCCACGTCTAACCTTAGTCCTTCTTTCACCTGTTCGATATTTGATTTCAAAAAATTGGCATTGGCGCATTATTGCTCAAGTGCAAAATTCGTCCATTCGCTATTCGATCTATTAAGCAAAAGATTCATTTCCTTTTGACACACTCTTTAATATTTGATTCGTTGGCTTGTGAAATAAATCTTTCATTAAGTTATGAGCTCAATATTTGGGTCAAAGGTTACTGTGATGAAGTAAATTGGTAGCAGTGCTTTTTTGTTTATCTTTGTATGGTCGTGTTCGTTTGAGTTTTGGTCATTTTCCGAGAGTTATATTCACTGATGATCTTGTGATATTTCCAAACATGATTTCCAGGGCAGTTGCACTCATCTGAGGAAGGACCGCATCACAGAATTACAGGATGAAACATAAAGAATATCGTGAAGGGATTAAAAAAATTAGTTCTCAATAGTTAATTGGTTCGAGCCATAGGTTGTTCCTTCAATCTCGTAGTTTGTATCGGTTAACAAAGCCATCGAAACATACCACTAACCGATCCATCATTGCATCCCTTTTATGGTATTCATTCAGAAATGCAATACAAACGGGACGGTTCTCATTTCGATAGTGTCACCAATCAGGATATGCTCTTGGATTTTACCGGACGATTCAGGGATATGCTACCATCCGGAACGCAGGATCGGGTACGTTTTACTCTTTGCCTTAATTCTTTTTCCGTCTATCAAAAAGTAAACTTATGGCATCTGTCTCTTCCCTAACGGTATCTCTTTTTTTAACATATTTACAGCTATCACCATAATAAAGCATCTTCACCTTCATTTACTGTACTATGTGGATCTCCGAAAATAAGCTCATTTGTGGCTAAGTTTTTATATTGCTTTGTTAGTGTTTTGATAATGGTATAAATCGCTTGATTATTGTCGGTCCTTTTAGTTACCAAGATGACCGTTTCCTTATCACTGACTCCTGAGACTAAATTAGCACTTCTTGCCCTTGAAATGTCGAGACTCCTCAAAAAATCATCTAATATTTTTAAGGTCGCAATGTTCATTTTATTCATATTGCTACCGCTTGGATTTCTATTTGAAATATTCGCGATATTACCGATTGAGCATGAAGTGATGTCGAAGGTATAATGTTAACCTGTTGTTTTATAACTTCTGTCTATTCAAGCTTTATTTAACCCTATCTTAGGATATATTTGCAGGTTATGACTTACATTTTAAACCAAACTAAATACTTCTTTGTTTTGTACGAACTGTGCTATTGAGTAAGATTCAATAGTAGAGCTCCCGTTTAAGATGAGATGTTATTTGGAAAATTATCTTGCACAAAATAAAGTGTAAATTTAGATTTGCGAACTATTGATCTATTCATACTATTTTCAATGCTGAAGTAAATTTATCATTAAGGGGTGTATGATTAGTGATATAATGATAGAATGTAAATAAACAAAATGCAATTCTTGCTAATTTTTTCAATAATAACATATTGAGCAAATTTTAAACCATATTTAAATTTTAAACCTTTTTTCAGGGATGGAATATAAGAGTTGGTATATTGATGTTTTTGGGATTAAATGCCTTTGCCAATGTGTATAACATTATATCAGTCGGACCAAATGGTAATTGTTCCGATTTGCCAGCGGTGCAGAAACGAGGATATCGATTTTGTTATATTTGTCAGCTAAATGAGCCTCCACGATCGAATCATTGCCCAGGTAATTTTGGTATAATCAATGCAGTGAATAAGGTCCCAATAGATTTAATGGGTCAGTTTTATTGAAATATGATTTAGTCAAGTTTTTAGAAATCTCTAGCAGGTAAAAACTGATATAAAACATGTAAACATATTTTTGGTGTGGAATGGTTATGAAATATTGGTAGTGGCTTATATTAATTTTGATAATGTGCCGAATAAACTGATTTTAAAGAAATAGAATTAATTTCATCAGCGAAGTCTATGACTTCATATCATAGCGCTTAAGATTCCATTCGAAAACTTTAAAGTTTCTATTGTTTTGACTCAAATAATTGATTTTCTTTTCAAATAATATATTTTTATATTTCAGTTTGTGACAAATGTGCATTTCGGCGTGATCATCATTGTTCGTTTGTCGCCGTATGTATTGGACACTTCAATCAGCGATACTACATTAGTGCTATTTGCAGTTTGTGGATTATATCCTCTGTTATGTTGACGTAAGACCATTTTCATTCATCTTGAATGCTAACATAGCTCAAATCACATTTTTGCACACTTAGTTCGAGTCATTCCTCAATTTTTTTTGCACACTTCGAGTCAGAGTTTAAATTTTACTTGGAAGTGTGTCCGTTTTACCGCCCTCTTCTTTATTGCGCCGGTTATTTGTTTTATGGAATCAACTTCTTTTCACGTCGAAACATTAGAGAATACTAGACAAAACTATGTGATACGCTTGTTCGTTCATCAAGATCTTCTCATTTACTTTAATAAGTTATATTAATTTAAATCTCTTTTACTTTGCAAGTCTTTAATAGGGGTTATTTCGAATCTTAAATTTAACTTCAGCAATTACACGGTCAAAATAAATTGTCGATAAAGTGTTTTTCGTCTAAAGTTGATTTAAAACTGATTACATTACTTGTTTTAAATAGAAAGGAACTCCATTGCCTACACATCATCAGCATCGCCATGGAATGTTTTATTATTTTGAATTAATAGTATATTGAATACTTCAGATGGAATTGGTCATTTATGTGGACATCACTTGGTGGTTTTTCACCGTTACAACTGTGGGAATTGATAGTACCTCACTTGGCATTAATCTTTCGTATCATCAGTTTTTCCCAATTTTTATGCGTGATGATCTTCGTCCTTTCGTTTGGTGTTTTCATCTTTCTATGTTATTTGATTACAGCTCAGCTTTTTTGCCTTTACCGAGGGCAGACACGGATGGAATATCTTATGGTAAATGCTTCCATTCTTTATCATTTTATTTTTTCCATGTTATTAAAATACAGCATAAAAGCTTCGATTAACAAAGAGTGAATGATATTCTTGCACGACTAAGATCTTGTTTCTTTTAGTGGCAAGTTGCTTTCCTCTTTCAATGACAACTTGCTTTCCTATTGCTAGAATTTAGGCTTTATTTTTGTATAAAAATATGAAACTTTAACATTTATTTTTTTAAAGTCTTTTTTCACTTTCGTCCAAACTTTCTCAATTTTAAATTGTAATTAATCAGCAATTACTTTTGAGGATGTTCACGCATATAATCTGGGATTTATGGAAAACGTACGTCAGGCTATGGGTAGGCATTGGTTGATAGCATTGTTAGTGCCGTTCGTTTCTTCACCGCTTGGTTCCGATGGTCTTTCATATCCAACACGTGAATCCAAACCACTGAATGATATGAAGACTATGTGATGGATCAAAAAGAATTTTCCTCTTCTGTTCAACCTTAAAGTGTTCAATTTTTTTTGACTTCTTAAACTTTTCCGAAAGTTTTTTAAGGAATTTGTCAGTAATAGTTACTGGAATGCGATTGCTTAATATCTCTGATTTCGATAATGTTTTACTTTTTTATTTAAGAATTGTTATTTTATCCAATGAATATACAAAAAGTGAAAGAGTTGGAAATGGAAGGAATGGGATATGCATATTATTTTGGCCTTAGTGAATAACATCATTTTGCATGTTTTTATTTTTCCCTTAGCAAAAGTTTTTATTTATTGAAAGTCAACGAAAGTTCTTTCTACGCTCATTGTTCGCTGATTTACTGTTCATATCTTCTATTAATAGAAGTATGTAAGTGTTAAATCAAGTAAATGCCAGCATGTGTGAAGTATATGCTTTTTCTGTATTCGGTGTGTTTCTTTTATTTAATGTAAAATTTCGATTTCTTTCCATAATTCAAACCATTTATTGCATGTAGTATAGTCACGTAGCTCTTGCATTGTAAGATATAGCTAATCGCTTTCTTTATTCGGCTCTTTCAATTCCTAATTTGTAAATTTTTTGCATAAGCTTTTACATGTTTTATCGATAATTTATTTGAGACTTATTTGTTGATTTTTCTACAAATTTAAGTTTAGTTTTAGATTTCATTAAGCTATATGTAAATCCGTATTCTCTAATAATCCTCCTTATGTATTTTTCTTAATCGCAGTAACAAACGAAAAAAATCAATCAAAAAATTATCATTATTAATAATGTTGAACTTTTGTTTCATTTATGGTATTACATTTTGAAAATTATTCTAACAGCTTCATTTCTCCGTTCCATCAGAAAGTTGTTAATTATAAAAGACTCTTATATGATGATAATTGTTATGTCATTCATGAATCATTCTGAAAAATTGGCGTTTAAATTAAATTTTGTCTCTTTTTCGGGAAAATTTAATTTTTCTCCCCTAAAATTCCTGAAAGTTTTAAATTAATTTTTTAGAATATTTCAAATCTGATTTTAAAAAACTTAATCCGTTCAAAATGAGCAAATGTTATTATTTAACTTTATTTTCATTTATTCATTACTTAAAAAAGTAATTTCCCATTGAATGTTTCATTCCAAATGAAATATCTAGTCTAATGTATACACTGCTTCATTTTACTAGTGTATTTGAATATTTATTGATAATTACAGTTTCTTTCCAAATGACTAATCAAATGATCTTCTATAAGCATCCATCTATTATGTACAATCATTAATATATAAGCGAAACAAATTAGAGGAAAATTCAGTGCTACTGAAATTTCGCGTAACGGTTGTTGGTATTTCAAATGTTCAAATAAATTTGGTTTTTTGAACTATATACTGTGAATAATATATAAGCGAAATAAATTAGAGATCTTAATTATTTTATCACTTTGTTTAATGTAAAATAAATAATTTCAGAAATGAAAAATTTGTCTTTGTTTAAAATTTGAGATAACTGGGAAATATATTTGGCTATTCTTTTTTTTGAGCTTCTAAAATTTCATAGCTTTTCTCTTTTCAAACAATACGACAAATATCGGTTTTGTAGAAGTATCAAATTAATTAATAGTCATATATTGTTGCTTCCGTGTGGAAACAACAAAACAAACAAACAAACGGAAAAGAATTTTTTCCGGAAAAGAAAATGAGTCGAAATGTTATAAGCCGGAACGAGATTGATGATCGCTTTAATAAATGCTTGAAAAAAGCAATGAATGATCCGCAACAACTTGTGAAAGGTGAAATAAGCGACAATGAATCAGGTTATTTCATCTTTTCTTTCCACTTCAAATTATCCGTCAATTTTTAGATTTGTTTAAGTGAGTTGAAATTAAGTTTGAGATGGTTTTAAACATTTGCATAAAAGTTTTTGGAAAAAGGATAACCAATTGCAGGATTGAATTCCATTACTTTTCATTAGATAACGCTTTTTTCTTTTGTTTTGTGAAATAAATGTAATTATTGACAAAATGTGAAAGTATTTCAGTAAGTTTGAATTTGCTTAAATAGCATTTCTTAGGAGAGAGCTTATCAGTGTCAGGCTATACTTTTACTTTTAGTAATGGATTTGGCTTAAATTAGTGTTTTTTAGGCCAAAAACTTGTAAGATTATATTTTTGCACTTTTATTAGACATATTGTTAAGCATTTCATAAGATTGAAATAAATTTCTTTTTTTATATTCATGAAGTATAATATATAACATATTAGCGAAACAGTAGGTGACAGTGAAATATTATATTAGGCATAGCAAAGCAACAGGTGACAATGGAATTTATATTAAGCTTAGCAAAACAATGGTGACAGTGGAATTTATGCCAGAATGCTTCTGAATAATACTCAAAGCTTCTCTCTTTTATTTATTAAGAAGTTTTAAATTTTTAAAAGAATTTGAATGAAATTTTAGCGTAATATTAAATCATTTTTTTTACATGAGAAATTACAATTTTTGATTAAAAATTTAGTTATAATTCAATTTCTGGTTTAAAATTTAGTTATAAATTTCTATTCTAAATGGCTATATTTAATATAATAGATGTGTGATGTGAATATATAATATAAGAATTTAATAATTAATTTTTATTTTACATTTCACAAATTCATTTTTTTTAAATTTTTCTTTGAAAAGCTAAAAGTTTTGACTATTCATTAAGATTTAGAGATCTTATCAATTGATATTTTATCACAGAAAAAAGAAACTGATAAAATTATTTAATTAATGAAGATGGTGGCGGTGATCAAGGATTGCAAAAAGCATCAGTGGGTAAAATGATTGAAAATTTTGCAAAGATTTTATTAGACAATGAAAAAGTTGATCATGCGGATATTAATGTACAAATGCGCCTAAAAAATATTAAAAGTAATCCAAAAAAGCACGATGTTCAATTCTTTGCATATGTAAGCATTTCTAATTTTAATTATCATTTTAAATAATGCATTTTTGTAACTAATTGCTTTGTTTATTCGAAATTTTCATCGAATAGAAAAATGGTTGTAAAAAACGGAAAAACGGAAAAACGGTTTTGTTAATTTTATTAAGGATTTATCATTAATTAAGACATATAATGTTTTTTATAACTTTTTATTCGAATTTTTGAATTTCTTAAATTTATTTTTTAATTTTAAGTACATTTAATTTTTGTTAAAAAAGAGAGAAGAAACTATAATAGTAATTTTAAATTATAATAATGCAATTTTAATAATATGAAATCTTAATAATAATCTTAATTTTATTGATTTAATTAAATAAATATTATTTAATTTAATCGTAACATACTGCATAATTGTTTACGTATTAGAGAGAAATTATTTATTTGCATATTTGATATAAATATTTCGATTACATTAAGAATTTATATTTAATTATAATTATTTTAGCTTTTTTATAAATATTACAATAATGAATATTTATCTAATATTTCCAAAATATGCAAAAATAAACACAAAGGTAAATAAATAAGAAAGTATGTATGAGTAGAAATAATGAATAGGTAAACAAATAGGTATAGGTGAAAAAGTAAACAAACATGTGAGTTATCAGACTATATTTATTTAGCAAGTAGAGAGTTATGTTTCAGGATTCAAAAGATTCGGATGAGCGTGGTGGCCGAATTATACGCGATTAAATTTGAAGATATTTTTTAATATTTTGAAAAAGTGACTGGCATAAAATAAATGGTATATGAATGAGAATTCTAATAATTATTGATTAATAAATCCGATTTTTTAAGTTCATATATTTTCTACTTTAAAAAATATACAAATTGCTATAACATAGCAAAATGGTAAACAATATGCAAATGGAATGCAAACACAATTACTGCATGCATGCATGCTAGCATGCAAATACATAATTCCTCTGAATTTATTTTTGTTCATTTAATTTTCGATTTTCATCTTTCATTTGTTCATTTAATTTATTTATTTAAAATAATTCAATCAAAAATAATTTATTTCATTCGATAAAAGAATCAACGTTTAATTATTAATCCGGAATGTTATCATCAATCTAAGATTCCGGAATATTTCCATTAGCTTTCGCATCCCTCAATGCAAACTCAATGTTTGCCTTTTTGTGTTGCATTAAACGAAATCTGTACATCTCTTCCTAAGTGACCAAGTCTTTAAGCTAAATCAATTACTCGTTCAATTGGAATGAAGAAGCTTGTAATTTGAATTTTGAAAAGCTTTCTATGGTTATTATTAGATTTAAATTAAATAGCACTCTAAGCATTTCTTCAATCAATGCCAAAATTTGTAAGTGTATATTCAATGATTGACTAAAAATTATTACTCACAATTACTATCATTTAAATTTTAAACAAAATTTATCAAGTTTATTTCTAAGTTTTTTTCTCGTGATGATATCATATCATATCATATCGTAGTCAATAATTTATTTCTATCAGTTTATTCAATCATAATTGATAAGAGTGAATTCTCAAATCATTCACCTATAAAATATGAATTTTGAAATTTCGGAGTAATGCTTATCTTGCTATAGAATATAGTCATCTAATGAAATCATTTTAATTTTTAATTTCAATTAATTTTCATATTATGATTAATTTTTCAAAACTTTTAATATTAAACTGTAAATTACATAAATTTCAATTCAATTTACAAGTTAATGGAAAATAATTAATGTCTATTATTATTATTACAATTAGCTAATTCTATCGTTGTTTGTATTGAAATTTTATATAATGGCATTTTTCAAAATTACTTATAAGAAATTAAATATTACTGAAATCTTTTAGTAGAACAAAATCAAACTTTTTTCATAACAGATTTTCCTACCATATAATTTCGAGAAATTAAAAATTATAATAATATCAAATGAATTATTGTAATTTTGAATTCATCCTAAAATTAGCACATGCTTTTCTTTTCGATAATTAATTAAATTAAAATTAAAATAATGTCAAATGAATTGTTGTAATTTTAATCTTGCCCATAAATTAGTTCCATTTTATGGTTCAATTATGAAATTAATTAATTTTATTAATTAAGTGTTAAACTGTATGTAATATTATAATTCAATACATATAAAAGTCTATTTTTATACAAACATTTTTCCATTACAATTATATTCGATTAATTTTCATTTATTCATTTCTTATTTTATTTTCTTTAAAATTTCATTTTTCAATTGAATTTAATATTTCCAGCAATTCGAAAAATTTTATGCAAAATTATTTTCAATTTAATTTCAATTTAATACTTTTCTATTTGTTTAAATTTTAATTCAAATTTAAAATAAATTTAAATTCAAAATTAAATGTTAGAAAAAAGTATTCTAATTATTATATTATTTATTCTTTGAGTTTCTCTTCTTTTTTTCCCATAATTTTGCTTGAAAAGTTTTTAATATTATATTTGTATAAATAAAAATTTAATTGTTTACTTTTTGGGTAATTAATTTATTGCTTTTGTTTTTACTTCTACATTATTTATCAATTTTTTGTTTTTTTAAAATGATGCAAATTAAATGAATTTTTGAATTTTTCCACTAAATAAAAATATCTTTTATATTTACATTCTAATTAATTAATGTTCGATATGCGTATGATTAATTATTGTTTACTGAAAGCGGCAAATAGCAAATTTTTACAAAAGCAAAGGAATGTTATTGTTAACATTAATATCGTAAATAATAGCTACTGTATTATTATCATACAACAAATGTAGTAAATTGAGCGGTAACTATCTTTGAAATTTCTACGAACTTTTTTTTGATAATTGATTTTGCTAAATTTCTTTAAACTTATTTTCCATCAATTAGCATCCATTTTTTTGGTTTAATAATTTTTCATTTTCCCTTTATTTCTTAACGGCAAGTTGTTTTGATTGAAAGTAATCAATTCGTTGATAATTTGTTATTTAAAAAATTATTGTAAACAAAAATTAATTTTATTCCAAATCAATAAATTTTGATTTGCATATTTCATTTCATTCACAAGCTGTCAATAATTTATTTGAAATTTGAAATGAAAAAAAAAGTTAATGAAAAAGTGATTATTTGAAATACATACATTATTAATCTTTGTTAGTTTTCTTTAAATTTTATTTTCGAATTTTAATTATTTTCAATAAATGAAATTTATAAAATAATCACTCATTTTTTTTACCTAATGCCCTTTAACCTAATTCTAATTACACATTTCTAATTACCTTCTCCCTTTCTTCCTTTTATCCCTATCAATTTGAAATGATTAATATGAAAACAACTGACATCGACAGTTAGCAACTGTTTCTGAAGAGTAGCATCACTTATCTGATATCTTTTCTGTCATCCAAATATTAGCTATTTCTTTCGATGGATAAAAAGTTATTCTCTCTCTCTTTAATTTTGAAATTCGTTTGAATTATAAATAATTTTATCGTATTTTGATGTAGTTTATCCACTGTATTTAATTCTAATTATTTTAATTGCTTTATTAGGTAATTAAAATTACCTTTTATCATTCCTTTTTTTGTTAGCTTACTGATAAATTTAAATTAAATTTTGCAATTCATGAATTGTATTCCAATTAATCTATCTGTTTATTTACATGTTTGTTTGTTTGTTTATTTGTTTTACCAATAAATATATAATTCATTACAAATATTTATAATTGTTTAAATATGCATGTAAGACTTTGGAATTAATGTCATAGCGTATTAGTTGTAAAATGTGAAAGTAGTAATACAACATTAGTGACTTGTTGTTGTTGTTTGAATACTATTAAGTGACCCTTAGATCAACTGACCACCGATCTCACTGATACCATCCCTCATCTTCATCGTCTCATCTCCATTCCCCAATCCTTTTCTCCTAACTTCAATTCCACCATATTACCATATCAAATTGCTCCATCTCATCCTTTCACCCTTCCCTTCCTTTCCTAAGATGACCATTTCCGATCGAGATGATGACACTGACTTTTACAGGTGTAGGCGACATTTCATGCTGTACTTCCATTAATTTATTGCTTATTTCTCCTTCATTATAATTAGTATTATTTAGTTATGAAAGTTTCTTCATTTAATTTGCTCTTATTTGAAAATTTGTTCTTTTAATTATTTTTTAAATATTTCTTTTCTTTGTTTTTTCATTTCATTTTTTACTTTTGATAAACAACTATAATTTTTGAATTCAAATTCTTTATTTAAATTCATACGCTAAAATTTTAGTTTAGAATGAAAAGAAAAAGAAAGACTGCCATCTGTCATTTTATCATTAGTTTACTTTAAACCAACCGATTAATTTTATTCACTACTTTATCATTTATGTTTAAATTTCCATCAGACAGGATGATATATAATTTGTGGTGTTGGTGAAAGATCGATCCATTAATCCATTAATTGACCAATCTTGATTGCATTTCAACTTCGTTGTATTTTCAAAAATTCTACGATTTAATTCAATTTTTTTTACTTCCTTCCTCAAATGATATGATGCATTAGAGCCTGTTTCCAGCCTAATTTAGTAATAAATAGATAGTTAAATTTCATTTTGTTAGTTTGAATAAATTGAAATGTCTTAAAATAAAATATTCGTTCTTTAATTTCTCTTCTTTTGGTTATTTTAAATTTTAAATAAAATTTTTGTTTTCAATCTTCCATCTGAAATTTGTTGCATATTAAATAACATATTAATGTAGCTCTAAAAGATTGTAATGCTTTTTTAAAAAAAATTTAATTTTCCCGAGAAATCTCGTGTTTTCAAAGAATTCATCATCGCGGTGAATCTTATCATGCAAATATACAAATTAAAAAAATTTATTGATATTTGTTATTATTAAGGTAATGAAATAATCAATTAATATATAAAGAAAAGAATCAAAAATATTTGCCAGTTATTTAGTAATTATAACATAAATGCTTACATATAGTTAAAATATCTTTTAAAATTTACATATTTATTTGATAAATAACAAAATGGGTATTTGTTTGTGTGGTGGATAATAGATGAACAGATATTGATAAATTATCCCATAAGGAATATGACATGAATTTGCTACTTACAATCCTTTTATCCATCATACGATGCATCCTCTCCTGTCAACTTAACCATTCACTGATGATCATAAAATGTTTGTAGTAGTATATAGTAGTAATAGTAGTAGTAGCAATTGTTGTTGTTGTTGTTGTTGTTTATGCTATTGTTATAGCAGTAATATTAGTAGTAATTGAGAAAATTTATTATAAATATATCAAAAGATAATTGTTTGCTTTTCTATCATCAATTTAGGGAAATTATCATAGCTAAAATTTAAATCAAAATTAATAACTTTCTTAATAATTATAATTTTATTAGTAATCAATATCACTCATGAAAATTTATCCCACAAGGAATATGAGGAAATACATAAAAGATAACTGGTAATTGCTTCATTTTCTATTTTACAACTTTAAGTTTTGGTAACCATTTCCTGTGAATTTCAAATTTTAAATTTAATCTAATACTGTTAAATTTAATACTGTTAAATACCGTTAAATTTAATACTGTTAAATACTGTTGAATTTAATCTAATACTGTTAAATTTAATCCAATACTGTTAAATTTAATACTGTTAAATACTGCTGAATTTAATCTAATACTGTTAAATTTGACCTAATACAGTTAAATTTAATACTGTTG